CTCGGGCGGTTGGGGAATGGGTGTTGTGATGATGGCTGCTATGTCTTTTAACTCGAGAGGATGCTGCAGGGTTTCAATCCTGCAGCATCCTCTCGAGTTAACAGTCTTTAAACATGCAGCATTTCCCTGTTTTCCCGTTTAATTCTTGTCCCTTTGATCTCCCAGGGAGATGTTGGATCTTTTCCTGTCTCAATGCGATGCGTCTTCCTTTCATGAAGAAATACAACATCGAAGAGTTTGAATTCAGCCAGTCGTATCTATTTTTCTGGGATAAGGTACAGGTCATGGGTTGTGCTAGGACGGCTTATGCAATTGGGTGTTAGTATTGGGACAGAATTTTTTTTAGGCTGGACCATCATAACAATCCAGGTGGAAAACGTACATTAGAAGAAACTTCAGAAGTTCTTTAAATATGTATTTTAAATGCAGGTTGAGCAAAGTGGTGCTTTCAGCTCGAAGAAAGCTGTCAAGATGTTAATGTTTTGGAATAGTAAAATTCTTTTTTCAAGTGTCACATGTATTTCAGGAGTTGTAGGAGGCTCAGGAGAAATGTGACCGTAACTTTCTGTTCAGCTTTCAGTCGTGCTTGTGACCTCCTGATCTGCCAGCTGCCTGCCTGCTTTTTTTCCCCCCACTAAGGGAAATCAAGAAAAACTAGTACTAGTTTGGGCCAGGCTTCATTGCATAACTTCTGTTTCACGTTTCCTGTTCCCCTACTCTCAAGCTCTGTGTGAACTCGCTCCTAAATATTGGGTCTGTGACAGAAAGAAGTTTATAGATGAAGTCATGGAATGTTAGAGGGAAAATAAGGGCTTCAGTGGATGAGCAGAAGGTAGCTTCATCGAGTTAGGATTTCTAAAGAACTGAATACTCAGGAATGAATTAGTGCACAATGTCACACTTACATTACCTATTTTTCCTGTCTTTCTGTTCCAGGTTGAACGTTGTTACTACTTTTTAAACGCCTTTGTGGAAACAGCTCAGAAGAAGGAGCCTGTGGAAGGAAGACTGATACAATTCCTGCTCTCCAACCCCACGAATGATGGTGGACAGTGGGATATGTTGGTTAACATTATTGGTAAGAGAACTGGTCGCTAGGAACCCTTCATGAGATTGCATGCTGTTTTGAGAGATGAGGAATGAAATAGAAGAAGAAATTAAGTTTGAGTTCTGGAAGTTTGCTAAGGAACATGATACCATTAGTCACTACCTTTTTTCATCAAAGACCTTTTTCATGCCAAATTGTAAATATTACACTTAAGCCTTGTCTAGGATCTTCACTCTTGCATATTGCTGCTCGTGACAGAAGCTCAGGAGATCAACAGAAGTAATTGGATATCCCAGACTTTCCATTTAGTAAAAGGTTCAGTTCCCTTTTACGACAGTCATCAACTCAACATTGTTTATATCCATGTATATAATTTCTAGGGCACGTGGTAAGGAAAAAACACTGCTAGGCTAGGGTGTGTCTACAGGGCAGAAGCAAAGCCACTTGGAGTTGCAGCCTGAAGAAAGATGGTATGAAGATCAGTGAGAGGGAAGCGATGTGGAATGTGGCAATGCTGGTCTTGTGAAGACCCAGTTTAACTGGGATCCTCCTTACACTGATTAAGGAGATACTTCTCCATGTCTAAATTACACTAGCATTTGTTTTCATTTGTGTTTTGAAACAACGTGACACCTTTGTAAATCAACAATCCCATAATGTTAAGTTAGAATCACAAAAGGAATTTGTTTCTTTGAAGCCTGGAGGTTACTTTTTTCCCCATCCAATTATTAATTAATCAGCACAGAGGAGGCTTTGGATGCTGCTGTTACATCCAGAGCCTGGTGTGGTGTGTTTTGATTGGTACCATAACGTAGGAAGCAACTGAGCAGTTGCTGGTGTTTTATAAATGTTAAGGAGGAAAGGAGACTGGGAAGTTAGTCACTTAACCTTTGAGAAAATACATGGAATAATTCATAAGAGGCCTGGTTCTTTAGAAGATACTTCAGGAGCTGAATTTTCAGGTGATCATTTCTTTTTTCTAGTGAAAAGAACTTCTTAAAAAGCACTAATTAGTTTAGAACTTTTAAGTGTTGAATTAAATGGTACTGAGCAGTTCAGGGATTCCACCTTTTGGCACTCCTGTGGAATGTAGATCAGAGTTCAAGATTCAGTCACAAATTAAGATGTAAACTTTGAATCCTTGTAACCTTTAAATGAGAGACTTTCTCTTATAATCTCTGCACAAACCCCAACTATATTTAGCTTTTACATGGGTATAGGTGGAAGCAATAGTGTCTGCTGTGTGGAGAAACCAATTGTTAACCTATGGCTTTACTTTCTTTTAGAGAAGTATGGTGTTGTCCCCAAGAAATACTTCCCAGAGTCTCATACCACAGAGGCTACTAGAAGGATGAATGAGATCTTGAATCATAAGGTAAAATTGACTTAGATGATACAGTTAAGGAGAGGGGATGGGAATGCCCCTGCTCCAAGTGTTCCTACTTTCATTTCTTTTTACTGACCAAAGTACTAAGTGCATCTCAGCAACTTAACTTGCTTTTATTCAAAAAGCAGCCTAAAGTCCTGGCAAAGTCTTGTGTTAAGCTTGAAACACAGAGCAGGAAAGTGCATTTATAGAAGCTGGCTGTTGCCAGACTTCAGTGGCTTGAAAGTACCCTACGTGGTTTTGGTAGCAATTGTTCTTGATTGCCAGATTTCCCAAGAGTTAATTCTTGATGTGTGGCTGATGGAATCTGTTTCTGCAAACTAGCGTTTGGTGTCTAGGTGACTTTTTTCTGCCCCCTCGATATTTCATCTACCAGTATGCCAAAGTTGCTAGAGATTACTGCCAAATGTGATTGAAGAGGTTTTTTAAAAAGGTATCTTCAAAACACTGAATCTTAAAAATCAGGTTGCAGTATAGAAGTGTGCAGCTTTGTCTGAGGGAAGGTGTAAGCTCACTTCCTGAACTACAAAAATGAATTAATCTGGGAAGATGCTAGTGTAAGTAGCTAGAGAAAAAGGCAATCAAAGCATTTTTTGAGGGCTTTGATTTTGTTTTTTCCAGTTCATATGGTACATGCTCAGGGAAATTTGCCTGTGGAAATCCACACAAAAAATGTAAAATATGTGTTGAAATGAGCTTAGACATAATGAATGGTGTTAATGTTATTCCAGTCTCGAACATTGCAAACCAGCTGGTCTTGAGGGAGCCACACTCACTGTTCCTGGCTTTATGGATGGTGACAGTAATGGGAAGCACGTGCTCTTCTTACTGCAATTCTGCACGCAGCGGGGAAGTGCTCCGCTCTTTTCATCAGCCAGGAGATCAATTATGCATTAGAATTGCAAAATACATTTTACAGTATGGAGACAGTCTGTTCTCTGTGACTCACAGAGGTGGCAATGCGTGTGGATGTTGCAGCCTGAGTTATGGACTAGAGAAAAGAGGCCTTAAGAACAGCTAATGGCTGTAAGCTTCAAATCAGTGGTTGGAAAATAGTAAATGAGTTGCAGCTATTTGTTAATTTCTGGGGTTTTTTTTGGATCTTTTAAATGATTCCAATATCTTGGTTTTTTAAAGAGTAAATATCTAATAAACCCTTCTCAAAGGGATTTTCTTTTCATTTTGAAACAGTTTACGAAGAGTAAAAAGGTGCTTGAAACAACCAGATAAAGTCCTAAAACCTAATGAGATGGCACCTTTCATACTCTTATAATAAAATGACTTTCTCTTTAAACAGATGAGAGAATACTGTTTGCGGCTAAGAAATATGGTGGAAAGTGGAACAATTAAAGGAGAACTTTGTGCTGCAATGGACACTATGATAGAAGAGGTAAACATACTTGTGTGACAACGAATCTTCTTGGAACACGAGGCTAGAATGGATGAGGTTTCTTACTCTTGTTCTGTAGCTCTCACGATCAGGCAAAACAAATGCCTTTTGCCTAACTAGGAATGTTTTGTATGGCAGCGCACTTGGAGGTATTCAAGTGAATTTTTTTCAAGTAGATTGTAGCTTATCACATTCTGAGTTTTTTCAAATACTTCCAGGCAAATGTCTGGAGTTTATAAGTTCCAGAGCTATGACATTTTATAGACACATTTGCCCCTTTCTGTAGGAAAGCAGCATTTTATATCTCAAGAGAGATCAAAATAGTGGCTGATCAGGCTTTTATAAATAGTGGGAAAGAGGCAAGGTGAAAATTGCGTTGCAATGGCTTTAAATGTAAAATCTTACAGCACAAGTGTTATTGCAGAAATTCCCCACAAGAGAGCAGAAAAGGACAACAAAAGGGAGTTCTGTGTGTTCTGGAAAAGATGGGAGCTGAACACAAGGCTGAATCCAGCTGTGGTCCGATACCGGGGGGCAGCAGAGGAAGGAAGCAAGTATCTGTTTCTGGCAGTGTGAATTAACTCAATCAAATCAATTGCCACATCTGTAGTATGCAGCGTGCATAGTGGCTGGTCCTCCATCTGTTCACACTGAATGAGTGATGCATGTCACTCTTTTTATCTGATTTTAAGGTTAGATTAAAAAAAACCCAAAACCTGAGTTGTGTTACTTGAGTTATATTATTGAAACTAAAACTTTCATGTAATACACGCCTTAAGATCAACAGTAATTCTGCACTGTGAGCCTATCCCAGTATGCTGCCAATAAGCACTTAGTTCAAAAGTGGATTAATATAACTTACCTCCAGTGTGTGTGTTCAAAAGCCCTTGGAGGATTTTGCAGTAGACACCAATGACTTCCTAGAGATGTTTATTTTTAGGGCAATGACATACAGTTCACTGCAAAACATCTTTGTTTGTTTAGAGCCTCTTGCCCTCTGATAAGGGATCCTGGCACCAGCATTAAAGGCTCATTAACTGATTGCATTTTTTTCTGTAAAAAGGTTGTGCTTAATTCTCTGAAGTTAACATGCTATTTCCTCTTGCAGTGGTAATAGTGGTTTCCAATTTAAGTTGATTTACTTTCAATAAACATTGTAGTTGAAATGTGCAATGACACAGTCTTGTATACTTCAAAACCACTCAGTTTTAAAGGTTTGAGACCACTTTTGTTTCATGTGTTTATGAGTATTTTTGTACGTGGCAAAGCAGAACTTGGTTTTGTTCTGTGAAGTTCTATTTGCATAGCAAATCTTGGTTTGCTCATGCTGGGAGGCAGTGCTCTAGCTAAAATGGGGTGGTGGTACTGGAACACAAGATTAAATATTCACTCAAGAACTGTATAAACATTCTTCTTATCAAACCAGTGTACAGCAGGTCAGAAGCTGAAATCAGTGCAGTGCATGTGATTGAATTTTTTTTCTGTTACTGTTCTCCTTTGTAGACTCTTCCTTACCAGGAGTGTCCTTCTTTTCACCTCCTCATTTGTATTGTTTTTTAGCAGAAGCCGCTGAATCTTTGACTTACCTTGGTTCTGGTTGTTGCTAGAGTGATATAAGTCCCCTTTTAGTTTAAATACGTTGTCTTATTTTCTTTATTGAAAGAGGAAGCTTGTGAGATAGAGATGGCCTGTGGTGGGTGCGGTGGCAAAACAATCAGGGAAGGCCATTCCCAGGCCCCACTGCCTCTGTTAACTTGAGACTTCTGTCTCCATTTTCCTTCCTCTGGCTGGAGCCCACTTGCTTGTTGCTCTCCTAGGCGTTTTTCTGGCTTATTTTGTTTTTATAGCCTCATCTCTTGCCACTTTGGGTTATCTGAGGTAATGTGGGTGTATCCACAGCAAATGCTACCTTTTGTGCAGTCTGTGCAAAGTTAAATATTTATAGTAGTTTAGGGATTTACATTTGCTCTTTAACATATTTGAGAAATAAATGAGTTCCTCCAGTAAAAACATTAAACACACACCCTTGTTTCAACCCATGATTAATCTCTTCACTTGTTTTCTTAAATTGCTTGGAGCAAGAACACCTTCATTTGTATTTTGTGCACAGCCAAATAGTGTTACTTAGCATGAACATTGCATTCCTCTTGCCATCAGCACAAAGTGCTTACTAGCACAAAGCTAGTTCTTACAGAGCCTTGGGATACATATAAATCAGCTCAACTGGCTCCAGAAGGAGTAAGTCTGCTCTGGGAAAGGTATTCTGTCTCCTCTCCTGTGCAAGTCAGTGAGAGGAATGTGTGAAGACTGACAGCCTAGGGAAGCTGGCACCAGCCACAGGTGTTAGATCCTAGTGCAGAAGGCGCAGGTGAGATTTGACTCCCCCTGCTCTTATTCAAAATAACCTGTTGGTTCCTTGCAAGGAATACGCTTGTCCCCTGCTCAAGACATGGCCAGAGCTGCAGTAGACCAGTCACCTGAAGTAAAACAGATTCAAACCTGTTTACGTATGATTGAATTCTCTGTCCCCAGAGTACCTGTGTCGGGTCCAGCAAAATATCCCTAAAGACAGTTATCTGGTTACACTGCCTGGGAGTTAGCACATCTTATGATAAGTCCTGTGAGAAAGTACCGTAGTGATTCTTAAGTGTGGTTTCATATTCTGATTTATAGCTGGCCTGCCTTGAAATCTGGTCAGCTTTTTGTGCTAAAAATCAATAGAAAGCTGTCAGCTGCAAAGGATGTCACAGTCAGCAGGCAGGGATCTCAAATTGCACAGCCTGTCAGCTCAACCCTGAACTGAGACATTGTTAAATCTATTAAAACAGACCAGAAGATTATTCTAGGCTTTTGAAAAGAAGCAAAGGCTCATCTTTGAAATCCAAATGAACATTACAGGAAAAAAAAGGGATTAGCACAGGGGAAACAGTGGAATAGAATGCTTTGCTGTGTGCATGTTAGGAGGGCTGATTCTGATCTGTATGGGGCAAACCACCTGGTGGAACGGGTGATGCTGAATGCTTAAGCCTTTCTAGAATCAGTTTGATAAAGTTGCTCTAGCACTGGGGAAGTATCTTCTTGGAGGAGCTTTGGAATTAGTTGTGAAATACTGGAATGGGACTGGGCAGCGTGTTGGCTTTTGCTTTTGGCTGCTGAATTCCTAGGATAACTTGGAATTTACATGTTCAACCTTAAGCTTCTGTTTTGTCTGATGGTTTGCCTGAGAAGGTAGAGAGTAAGAATGGAGAGATTCTGTTGATTTTTCTGCAGCCTTTCAGGTTGGTTTTGAGCTGTTGAAACAGGTAGATTTCTGGAGCTGAATGCAAATAATTCATGTGTGTATGTTCATTCATGTTCTTCTGAGGTGGCCGTTAAGATCTCATTTCTCCAGGTGGTTCTCGTGGAGAAATCCATTCATCAGTGGCATTGCTGTGGTAGGAGAGGCAGACCTGCATGTTTCAGCAAGTTCACAGCCATTTCCTTCTCTGGGCAGGTATTCAGAATAGTGAGTACGTGCCTGGGCAGCCCTCCGGAGACCTTCTGCTGGGAGTTCCGGGATAAGGAGAAGAACTACCACAAACATGGCCCTGTGACACCAGTCCAGTTCTACAATGAGCACGTGAAGCCTTACTTCAACATGGAGGACAAGGTTGGGGATGCTGAAAGGCAGTAGCTTCCCAAGACCTTTTGTTTAGCTGCTAAGCCACTTATTTTCCACTGTTGCGCATGCACTGTCCACCCCTGGAACCGTGCCAGAGGGGATGGGTACCACTCCCAGAAGTCAAAGATGGCCCTGTGTTTATTGCGCCCATTCTCCTGTTTGTGCTCTACCCTGCAATTAGTTGTGATCTTGCATTGCACTTCCATGATGATTTTGCAATGATAGAATATGTAATGATGTAATCAGTCATAAAATTCTGTAAGACGGCCAGCAGAGAGCAGGAATAACATGCAAAGCTGCTATGCCACAGTTATGAGGGGGACTTACAAAACAAAAAACAAACAAAACCTTAAATGTTGTATTTCAGCCAAGTGGCTTGTTTGCTAAGGGGACAGACAGCTAGTTGGGACAAAAGCAATTCTCTGAAATCCATCTAGATTCACTTCTCAGACTTCAGTTAAGTTGCACCTTACCTTGGACATCTTTGTTTTTGGCAGATTTGTCTAGTGAACGATCCTCGACCTCAGAACCTGTACAATAGGCTGTACACAGTGGAGTACTTGGGCAACATGGTAGGAGGGAGGAAAACGCTCTATAACAACCAGCCTGTTGATGTCTTGAAAAAATTAGCGGCAGCCTCTATTAAGGATGGCGAGGTTTGTTTGGTTTCTTTGCATGGATGGCATGGTGCAGCTGTTGTAATGTAAAACTTGCTGAGGTATGGCCTGGACGTGACTCTCCCTTCTGTTTGTAGGCTGTGTGGTTTGGCTGCGATGTTGCAAAGCACTTCTGTGGCAAGCTGGGAATTAATGACATGAATATGTAAGTAGAAAATCAAAACAGAATACCCTTTGGGATGCTTGGCTAGCACATAAACATGCCTTAACTGCTTAAGAAACTAATTTGTACATACTTTGGATTATATACCCCAAAAAAGTATATTTAAGTAATTCAGCAGCAGCACACTTTTTTTTTCACTTGTTAGCTGAGATCTGAATCCTTTAATGATGCACTACAAGTGGTTGTTAAAATATTTTTACTCATTTGAATTGTCTAGCATCTGGTGAGAGAAATTGCTGAAGGGATCAGTTTTTGCTTTTATTCTGAAACTAAAAATAGTTGAACTTGCATGCCTGTGCGCTGGCTCTGGGGCAGCGCAGTCTGCTGATTCCCTGGGTCACTTGTGAGAATTCTCCCTGCATCCTTGTTCATATCGCTGATCTGGCTTTCGAACAGATTTAATCATGAGCTGGTGTTCGGTGTCTCCATCAAGAACATGAACAAAGCAGAACGATTAATGTTTGGAGAATCAATGATGACTCATGCCATGGTCCTGACAGCTGTCACTGAGAAGGTAGTCTCCCTCCTGAAGTTCTGATGCTTGCATGGATGTGTTTGAGTATTCTGGTGGCTTGTTTGTGTGCTGGGCTCGTTCGCAGTGTGTAAGCTGTCCTGCTGGAGTTCAGCGTGTGTGCCACAACACCCTGGTGCACCAGGCCTGGTTGTCTGTTCTCCCGGTGTTGTTTGTGTCTGAGTGTTCAGAACTATATATATTTAACAAGGAGTGAAGAGTTTTAGACAAGTCAAAGACTTTTCTTTCTACCCACAAAGCTTTATTGGAGAAAGGGGAAAGAAAGTCAGCTTCTCTTTTAAGATACCAGAAAACCTACGTTAACTAATTTTTAAACACAGATTCTGATGTATCTTGCTGAGCAAGAAATCTAGTATGACAGCAAGTATTTCCTACCGTCTCCTGCGGTGTGGGTTAGTCCAATCTGCATTTTACAGCATGAAGCTGCTTCTGTTAAAATGCTAGTAGGAGACACTTGGCAACAGTCTTCAGCTTCTGCAGCTCACTGGCATGTGACCCCTCTGACCTGCACATGATTAGGGAAGGAAAATGGTGTCCAAAATAGCTCTGTGGCAGACAGTAGGCTGAGATGAATCCACAACTACATCTGCTCCTGGCAGTAAAACAAAGCGCATATTAAGTAAAAAGAACCATGTGAAAATTTACAACTTGGGGTTATCTGCAGTGTTGGTGTTTTCCATTTATTTCCAGAAGTTGTCACTATTGAAGTTTCTTTGAAGTGATCTCTTCCTGTCCAACATGACCTTGGCTTGAGAAACAACAGCTTGCATGTGACTGAAAGTTTGCTTGAGCTCTGGAGTCTGAGGACTTGAGATGGGACTGCTGAGTCACAAGAATTTTTTAGTTACTTTTTACAACTCAGTATAAAATTTCCTGTTGCATTCTGAGCTCATAACACTTATTTTGTGTGTCAGATTGCATGAATGTCTATTGAAGAATTTTCATTGTTTTTCAGTTAGATATTTAAAATTATACTTTTCTGGTGTTTCATCTATTCGTGACTGAAGTGTGTGTGTTTGTACTCATAACCAGTTCCTGGCTGCACTTAACTGACAGCTCTAGTCTATGGTCTGCATCTGTAAATTCATTCTTTTGCATGCCTAAATGTGTAGTTGCATAAAATGTAATCAAATGTGACCTGATTTTTTTAAAGAAAAGGATGTAAGATAGATGGTATCTCTAAAATCAAAAGATCATTTAAAAGACACTATCTGAAAACAAGTTCAGCATTTAGAGGCTTTTCCACATTCAAAATGGACTGTTTCTACTTTTTGTTTGAACATGTTGTCTTATATTAAACCTTATCTTAATCTAAAGAAGCTTTGATAAACTGAGTTGTAAAACGTAATACTTCAGATTTACCTACTTTATAAAAAGGCTTTAAAGATTTAAAAAAATCCTATTACAATTTACAACATAAAAAAATTGGTGGGGATTAAATGCACCTTTTGGTTAAAAACTTAATGTAGATAAACATGTTTATCCTAGTTTCTGTCTGATCACATCAAGAGTTGACTTATCCTTAGTCTGGTGGCTCTTGAGTGTCTCATTTTAAGGACTATATTAGGTCCTATATTTTTTAAAGTGAGGATAGAAGCAATACAACAGCAACATATTCCACTGAATAATAAAAATTGATTTATGGTGTGTTTTGCAGGTTAGCTTTTTGTAGTTAAAAACAAATCTAGCAGTGAAAGAATAACTATTCTTTGGTTCCTCGAGGGACCTGCTGTTTCATCAGGAGAGGCTGCTTGAAGGAAGCAGCAGCTCACTGTGGCACAGCATGCCTGTGAAGCTGTTCTCAATACTTCTATGTACTCTGTAGATTTGAACCAGACTTCCCACAATGCACGCTGGAGTACTGTAAATGAAATGTTCTGCGTGCTCGTTAGAAGCCTTGTGTACCTTTCCAAGCACCAGACTTGGAGCTGTATCCTGCAGCTACATTCTTCAAGAGTTTGCACTTGCTCTAAGACCGTTCTAGATTATTACAGTTGCTTCATTGTCATTGTTCCTTTCCTCTGATTCCTAGCTCAAGCAAGCTGAGCATTCTGCATTTCAGAAGGCCGCTGTGCACTGATAGGTGATAGGAAAGCTGTTTAAATTCTGTCAATTAAGTCCAAATTTGAATTCAGTTAATAAGTTTTCTGGTTAAAATAAGTATGTATTGCAGGCTCTCTTCTTGACCACATTTCCTCATATTTTATGTAAGCGGGTAGACAAGTATTTTAGAAAATTACATTTCTGCAGCCATTAGCAAGATAACATTGCCTGAAACTTGCCAATGCCTGTAGACTTTTGGGAGTGGAGCTCTGAGGTTTGGTGCTGGATTTAGATGTGGACAGGTTGGCTGCTGTAAACTCATGTGGTCCTTCACTACTGAATCGCCATCAACTTGTTTTATCACAGGATGGGCAAGAAGAGGCATTTGAAAAATGGAGAGTGGAGAACTCCTGGGGTGAAGATCGTGGTAATAAAGGTAAAGTAATTTATAGTTGAGGGAACAGAAAGCTGAACTTTGTGTTTGGAAATAAAGAGGTGGAAGTGGGAGAGGGGATGTGCTGTGTGTCCTTCACCAGGACCTGCACAAACAGCATGTGGGTCCCCGAGTTATGGCACTGTGTTCCTGGAAGATAAACATTCTTCACTGGAATGTGATTTACATCTGAGTAAATTGAATGTAAACATTGAATGGAGAAGCAGGAAATGTCACTGGATAAACTTGACACTGTGGTTGCAGGTTCAACTGTGGAGGCAATTGTGTTTTTTGGGAGATGGCCATAAGTGACTGACACTGCTTCTTGACAAGCAGGGCATCTTTGTCCCAAAGGCAGGAGGACACAGTTGACAGAAGCCCCTGTGGAGGCTGGAACCGGAACTCTGAATATAGTTTAATGCTATGGGGGGTATATTGTCTTTACACTACAGCTTTTCACAATCTAATAACCACACTGCTTATTTAGTGTACGCAAGGTAGTGGGAAGATACCAGTAGACTTCTGTCACCAGATCAGATGGATTCAGGCTGTCTAACTTCTAAGTAATCTGGCTAATAATGGTTACCTTCTCTCTTCCGCTCTGAGCGGCGTCTTGTCAGGTCACACTAAGCATTTGTAGAGTGTACCACAGAGTGCAGGGCCTGTTGGGAATAGTAGGGATTATCAAAGGAGTTCTAGAAAATGCATCTACAGTTCATGTAATGAAGTATTTAAAGTAATAAACTTTAAAATAACTTTTTAAAGTTTGATTAGTTTATTGCTGTAAAGCTGCTTATTTTCCTAAGCATTGTATACCCATTTGATGTTGATCACAAGTAAATTGCCAACTATTGTCTGTGTCAAAAAACCCAGCAGCTGTAGGAGTTTGGCAAGTGTGGTAGGGAGAGAGCAGAATCTCTGCTGTTTTGTTGCTTATAATCTTCTGCACAGCACAAGTCTGAAATCTGGTCGTATTAGTCTGAAAATATGGTAGAACTTCTCTTCTGAAACTTCAAGCATTCCAGCAGGCGTGTAAACCACTCCTTTAATAAAGGGACAATGGATAGGAAGTGCTTTGCAGGATAGGATAGGACCGCTTCCAAGAAGTGCTACAGAAGTGCTTTCTTCTAGTGTGAAAGCAGAAATAGACTTCACTGTGATATTTTAAGTGTACTGAAGTTTTTGGTAACAGAACTAAGCTTAAATCTGTATACTTCAGCTGTCTCATCTTTGGGACCTCATGCTGGCTGTGGCTGATATTACTTAAACAATCTTACTGAGTCATACGTGAAACCTAAGTGGTTTATATCCTCTTTAAAGCACTGTTTATCAGTCACTGTAAGCTTTTACTTACTGATTTTTGTAAATGAGGGTATGGCTGATTCCAGCTTGTACTGTGAACAGCTGCGATGTAAACTATTCTAGTACCAACACCTGTATGTAAAAAACAAAAAAGAGAATTCTGGTTGCTTTCTGAAGCCATGATAAAAACATGACCTGCAGCATCCTTGCAGTGTTCCCCTCTGGCATGACAAGCACTAGCAACAACAAAATCCACTGTTAACATGCAGTTCTGCTCATGCCAGGTTTTCTTGCATAAACTTGCTTTCCTGTTGATGACTGTCTCAGCCTGCACTGTTGTTCCTTGAAAAAGGATTTGTAAGCGCTGTCGGGCTGTAGTGGGGTGGATGTGACAGCCTGGCATGGCAGTGTGGACAGTGGTGAGTCACAGCTGAGCAGTGGCTTCAGAAATTGCTTCTAGTGCCTTCCCTGCTCAGCCTGGGAATGACTGGAGGGGGCTTCTCTGCCTGGTCTGGGATCCAGCTCTGACCTGCCCTGGCCCTAGGTGAGCAGGGCTGATGGTGTTGAGAGCATTTCTGCTTTGCTCTGCTGAGGCCAGCAGTCAGTCAGGGTTTCCTGAAGGTGTGGAGTGGAGCAAGATCTCCATGACTTGTCATGTTCCAGTCTGGGATGGGCCGGATGCGGGCTCAGCCATGGCACAAACTCCCTGCTGAGCGTGCCAACCCAGGCTTCCGTGTGTCCCAGGGCATAACACAGTAGTCATTGCTGACCACATTTTTCTGTGGCAGATTAATCCCAAATGTTGTGCTCACAAGATCTGGTATGGCTGAAATTTCCCAGGATGTTTGGGGGTTTCTTCTGGGAATAGACTGTTTCTGGAAAGCTCCGGTTTAGGATGTGGTCTTTATGAATAAGCTTTTGATATCTTATGCATGAACAGCTAACTGAAACATAGAATATTCTTGGAACAGTTTCTTAATTTATGTTCTTGGTCTTGCAGTAGTGCCTGTTCTGATTTAGCTGTATACACTCACAACGAAGTATTCCAATAAAAATACTTCGTCTTGACAACACAAATGAAACTATGTTGATGTTCAGCCTTCAAGACTCATCAGTGTGACAATAGTTAAATGTGTGTTGGAAAGGTAGGTTAACTAAAGAAGCCAAATCAATACTAAAAAAATAACATCAAAACTTTTCTTGTCTCCAGATACAAACTAATAACTATTTTGTTAAGCATTTCTGAGTAATAGAGAATATAAAACATAAAAATACCTGCTTAGTTTTGCTCTTATTGTCAGAACATGTCGTTTTGAGACACTCCAGATGCTTGGTTTGTGATGTTAGATGCTACTAGTTAGAGGAATGCTTCCAGAAAGGCAGAGCCTTACTCAGCCTGTTCAGCGTGGACTTTGGTTCGTGCTCCAAACATTCTGAAGTTAATAGGTGTCTGTCAGCAACTTTGTGGTAACCATATAGGCTCCTTGGCCAAGGTTCAGAGTTGTTCTTTGTTAGATTGGGCTCAGTTTCAGGATATTGGCTATTACTCTGAAACCGCAGGGCAGCAGACTGAAGCCTGACACCACTAGTAGAAGTTGTACCTGTTGAGCTGTGACTGAGCAGCGGCAGTTCTGTGCTGGTGTTACTGGGCTGGAGCGTCAGGGAATGCTCTGATGGAGCTGCGGAGGCTGTGATGATGTGTGTGGAGAGCTGTGTGTGTGTTTGGCGTTCTTCATTTTGAGCATGTAACCCAAAATCAAAAAATAACTGCAGCAACTAGAAATTAAAGTGTAGTGCCTCAGGCTTTACATAGGAATAACACTAACTTAACCCTGTTACCTGGTTGTGTTTGAATATTACGTGAACTTGTTTGCCAGCTTTGTAAGCCTAACTTGCTACATGGTTTGCAGTAACAGTTTACTATCCTTTAACATTATCTCTTTTCCAAATATGGATTCACTCTTCAAGAATAAGTTCTTCTAGAGCCATTTAAGAGAAGCTAGTTGTTCTTTTGAAATACAACAGGACCCCAGAGTGACTTGAATAAACCCTGCCCGTACCTTATATGCCTGTATTGTATGCATGCCATCTATGTGAACTTCTCTGAGTGAGTCACTGTCATCTGTTTTGTACTGGTAGAGCCCACAGTCTCTGGAAAGTCTTGCTTCACTGTCTATATTTTGTTTTGGTTAGGGAGTTGTCTGAAAAAGTGCCTTGACAGAAAATCCCATCAGAACTACAAAGCTTGACTTTTTATTTCAGGCTACTCTTTTCTTAGGCATGACCAGACAACCCACTGTTGAGCTGAAGGCAGCTGGAACAGCCTTCAGAGTGCTCTCTCAAACACTAGAAGAGGTAACTTGGCAGGGTCTCCTCCCCTGCCTCCTGCCCTGCTTTTTCAGTCTTCATTGTCCAGTACTCGCTGGTATAGGAGGGTGAGGATTTGTGGTCTGTCCTAGCTCTCTTGCTGTGCTGCTCAGTCTGTCTGGCAGTGACTTTTTTTTATCTTATCTGCCTTGTTAAGGAACTGGGAAGCTGTGCTTGGATAAGTCCAGTGCAGAGAACCAGAATCCACATCGGTGAAGAGGCAGCCAAGAATGATGTTAAACTTGGCACATCCCAGTTGAGGCTCAGTGGGGTGTGGGGGATACAAGTAAGCCCCAACTCCATTATTTCTTGGACAGGATGATAAAAGGTACAGCCTGCAACAAAACACCAGAGACTAAATTTTGAGTCATTAAAAACCAGATAAACAAATTACATTGTTGGTAGGAAATGGAAGGGTTTTTTTGCATGGGGTCCCTCTTGCTTTGCTCTGCGTACGGTCGAAGGTGCCAGGTAACGCCTGCTTCCCCAGACTGGCGTGGGGCAGGACTGGAAGGACTGTGACTCCTGGTTTGGGTACCATGGTATGAAGTTACTTATACACTCCGCGGAGTGGGCAGAACTGAATTCTTGTGGTGGTGCTTGTCCCAGGGAAAGGGAAGCCCTGGGAACAGCCTAGCATTGCCTCTCCTAAATATTTAGTAATTACATTTGTATCTGTTGTAAAAGTGTTTCTTGGAATCCTGTCTATTTTTCCTCAAGGAGCGAACACAGCTGCTGACAAACATTGCTTGTTTTTTGAGGTAAAGTCACTTCCCAGTCAAATATTTCCTTTCTGTGTTTTACTGGCACTTTGTCAGCCATACAGGCAAGTTTAATTATTCTGATTACTCTTTTGTTCTGGAGAACACAGTACATTATTACCTAACTTTGAACCCGGCTTATCCCATGGGGTATCTTTTCTTAAAAGCAAGCAAGAGGGGAACACTAAATCACGTTATCACATCCATTTGATAGGGGTCCATCTGCTTGTTTTGGCGCAAAAAGAACTTTCTGGTGGTACATCTCCAGCTAGAAGTCAGCTCCCTTTTGACTTTTCTAATCTCTTGTACTGACTGTTGCATACTTACTCTTCTGTCTGAAGACATTTTAAGGATTTAAGTGCAGACACTTAATGTCTGTATTCATAGATGTGTGTGTATGTTGTCCCATAACCACACTGTGACAGCAAGGCTCTGTTAATTTGCTCTCCCTGTGGAGGAGTTACGGCACAAGCACCAAGTGGCTTGTACTGTGTCCTTCGGGAGCTTTCCAGGGCCTTATTTTCAGGTGCCCGAATCCGAGGTTGTGCAATAGCTTCCAGACCAGCCATCCTCGACTGACCTCTCCCTGGCCAGCAGCTTGTCAGTTTTAAAATGCTGCGTGTTCAGGTTTTTCTTTGGGTCAGTTGAAGAAATGTGGAGCAGCCTCACACAGAGGCAGGACTGTGCTTTTGTAGTCAGGTGCTGTGTTCTGTTACACCACGGTGATGCTGTTCCAAGTTCTTGTCCGTATGCTGGCCTTAACATACCAATGGTGTGCGTCGAAGCAGTGGATTAATTGCCTGAGGTAAAACTCCTTTGTGTGTCCTGCCCAGAAATGCAATAAACTTTTCTGTTTTTTTCACTTCTGCTTGTTACTTGGATGGAGTGCAGAGCTCAGGGTTTCCGTAGGCAGGCTCTGAGCATATGTCTTGCTGCCTATACAGTGTATGTCTCCTTTTAATGAAGAAATTGATAATGGCTTTCATTGTGACACTGGGCACAGGCCTCCTCAAAGAGCGACCTTACTTATTTGCATGTTCTGAAGTTCTGCTTGACGTTTCCTTCTTGTTCAGACACTGCGATCCTAATCGGCACTGTCAAGCTCTGAGATACAGGATGTCAGAAGCAGAGTTCATTATCCTCTCAGGGTGCAATTACTTGTTGGCTCTTGGGAGTGAGAGGTTTTTGTGTGTCCCAAGAACTCATATCCTGAAGAGAATAATCACAGCAGCTCCCTTTGGCAGTGTTTCCAAAATGGCTTCTAGCTCGGATTACAGTTGATAGGGTTTTTAATTTATGGGAATTATCTGATCTCTTGCTTTAGAAACAAGATGGTGTAGATAGATGCATTTATTGTCCATATTCTTTGGACGTTTTCTTGTTTCATTTGATTGTGTGATGATACTGTGTAAGGACATGAGGAACTTTATTACATAAAGCCTTCCCATCTGTCTTCAAAATCCTTTCTTTCTCCCAGCCGCTCTTATTTTCAGTTCACCTTGAATAGTTTGTTTGCAATGGTAGCTTTCTGCTAAAAGCCGTGATACTCTAAATGTGACTCCCACAGTTCAAAGGCTGTTCACTGAAATTCTCGGTAAGAATTACAATAAGGGAGAAAATTAAGATTTGGTTCAGCCAAAGTGTGATTCTTAGGTGGTTTTACATTTGAGGAAAGCAGATGGCCTCCTTTTCTTACTACAAGAACTGAAAGAGCAAATTCTTATTCAGCCAAAAAGATTTGGATATTTACCTGGAAAATTTCCCTTTTCTTAACAAAACCCTGAAAACTTCTAAAGCCAGAGACTCGGATAATTTTACGTTCTGCCTTAAATACTAAGGTTTTTAAGGCATTGTAATTCACCTGAGTATTCTCAATGCCTGTTTTAAGAGGAAGCATAAATGATGAATATTCTGGATCTTGTTTTTCCTGGCAGGCTTCTTGCTTGGTGTTTCAGTGCATGTGAAGTACATCCAGTTAGCCTACATGTTAACTTATTTGTAATTTTTTTTTTCTTGAGAGATAGAGAGTATGACTAGGTCCTGTTTGTAATGCGTCGTTCATGGGTGAAACTTGTATATGTGACTGCTGCACTGTATTGGTAATGGTTCTCTGTTGTAATGAACTATTTTCATCTCCAGGTTACCTGATCATGACTGATGACTGGTTTTCTGAGTACGTGTACGAAGTTGTGGTGGATAAGAAGCATGTACCAGAAGACATCTTGGCAGTGATGCAGCAGGAACCAATTGTTTTGCCAGCTTGGGACCCTATGGGGGCTTTAGCCAAGTGAATTACAGAATATTTGCCTCTTAACGGTCAACCAGAAGTAGACGCAATAGAGAATTCCAGTGGTTGGAAGCCATAGCCAAATGATAATGAGACCAAGCACTCAGCGTGGTCGTATTCTTGAAATGTAAGTTAAGGATCTTTGGGAAATAGCGCTTTACTGACTTGGCTGAATAAAGCTCTCAGACAGGGTACTCCGCAAAACTAAAAAGGGAGAAGGAAAAAAAACTCATAATGAAAATGTATTACAAGTACTGTCAATGGCAGTTGGATTTTACCTTAAATTTTTAATAAAAATCAGCATAGTAACTCTGTAGAATTACTTTGAGCAGTGTTTTCCCTAGAAGAGGGCCGTAAAAGGCCCTTTAGAATTTAACAGCTACATGATTGTTAGAACAAATACCTTGATACTTATAAATGAACTATCCATGCTCTGACTTGTACCATAAAAGAATGCCCAAAATATTTTATATATTTACATTTTTAGTTTTGCTGAAGTTTTGGAGGGGACGTAAGAATTGAAACTGCTAAAAATTACCTGTAGGAAATTTTCTCTTCCAGCAGAATTGGGGAGGGAAAAACTGTTTCCTTCAGGTTTCCAGTTTCACTTGTTCTTATTCTTCTGTTACTGAGCTAGGACTGGATAACGCGTGTCAAGGCCCAGTGCTGTGTCTGTGTGCACAGGAGCGCTATTTTTCAGTTACATTAGCAAGAACAACCATATGTATGTTCACAGGTGGAGTTAGTGTCATGCTCAACAGAAAAACAACCCCAACATTTTAATTGCTGCATTTTATTTGGATGTTTTAAAAACAAGATGGTGCTATGAAGCTTTTAAATAAACACTTTCTGAAGTGAACAGTATGGTTCTGGGTTTTTAATGAGCCTCATGTAACTAATGAAATGGAAAGATATTAGTGACCTACAAACGAATTGAATGTGAATGTATCAGGAAAACCTGCTGCTCTGTGTTCTCAGTAGTCAAAGATGCTCCTCTCGCTGAACAAAGATAACAGAAATGTAGTATCTCGTGCTACAGGCATTCACATAGTTTGAGTGCAGTACTAACTTTGATTTAAATTGCACCAAAATGGCAGGCTGTCTGTGTGTGTACCCTGATGGTGTTCCTATGTGGTACTGGCCTTAGTCATAGGCAAATAAAAGGGTAAGTAAGGACAACAACATGCCACACTGAAACATTGGGCAGCAGCTACCTTGGGCAGCAGACAGATGTTACTTCAGTGCAAGCAAAAAAGGATGTTTGGTATGGCCATGGTATTCTATAGTTTGGTTTGACTTTACCTCTGTTGTCTAAATGGAAGAAGAAAGTTATAAAATGATTACGAAAGTGTCTTGTGCTGGTTATACAAATATGTATTTGTATGTACATAGATTAAAAATGCCAAGCTGAATCAGTCTGCATGTTGCCTGCTAAATTAAATCCAGATTAGGGTTTGTCTGGGAGTCATCTGAGATGATTCAAGCGGCTGTGATTAGCATTGCCTGAAGCGGGCAGGAGTGCTGGTTAGGTGAGAGCACTTGGTGGGGAGCGGCAGCGGGAGGCTGCTGCTGCCTGTGAATGATGTGTCTTGAAAGTCTGTGCCCTTTGCAGTATCGCCTGCGAAGGTAACAGAGCTGCTCTGGCAATGGGCAGGAGGTATCTTGGCAGTGCAGAGATGCTGTAATTTGATTTCCTTCCAGCAAAGTTCAGCTCAGGTTATCCTGGGCTTACACCAGAAGGGTTTCTGTCCCCTCAGGACCTATGAGGGTACAGGAGCAAATGGCCATTGCTTCCAGCTTGCCTTTTCTAGTAGCAATGGTCACAAGCAGTAATGTGAAGCTACACCTTTGCAGTAGATTTGCCTAGTCTAGAAGACTCCAATGCTCAGATCTTTCTCGGTGCCTCGGGATGGGGTAGATCACCTTTCTTGCATCCTACACTGCTGACTGGCAGAAGTGTGCATCACATGCACTTTTCTTTGTGGAAGTCTGGACATGCCTTTTAATTATCAGGATATTGTGGAATAATTGATTTGTCAAATATGTTTATCAGGTTGTCAAATACTTTGCCACCATTTCTGCTTTATGCTCTATACTTATCAAAGTGTGATCTCTATCAAACCAGGCAAACGTATGTTGTGTAAGGAGCAGCGCCTAGCCAGGAGTAACTGCACATGCAACCAGAGAATGTAGAACGAGTCTGAGCCAAGTTTGAGTGGTGTGGAAAGAAAAATATAAAAATATCATGGTTGATCGCATACTCTTGTAGAAAAAAGTAATGTAATATTGAGGTATACAGAGAGAGAAATAGCCTCCAATCGCTGTAACGCTCCCCAGCTCTGCCGAAGACTGCTGGAGAGTGAGCTGGAGTGCGGTGTGCAGTTTGGGGCACTGCAACTCCAGGAAGATGCAGAGCAAAATGAGCATAGAGAGGAGTGGTAAGAGTGATCAGAGGACTTGAAACTCTGCCTAGTAAAAGGCTGAAAGAGCTGTGGTGTTTGGTCAGAGAAAAGGGGAGCCATCATGTTCTTTTAATTCATAAATGGATGCTTTAAAGAAAGGAGTTTTGTTCCCACTGCTCATAGAAATTGATCAAAAAGTTCACAGGCTTCAACCGCAGGGAGATTTAGTGAGAGTAGGAAAAGCTTTCTGGTGATAAAAACAGTGAAGACCTGGAATAGGTCACCTGAGGATGTGTGGTGCCTCTTGTTAGAGAGCTCTCAGAACAGGGCACAGAAGGGCTTGTTGGAGATGGCACTGGTGGGGCTGGTCCTCCCTTTGGCGAAGGGATGGCCTGGATGATCCTCTGAGGTCCCTTCTGCCGTGACGGGGCTGCGATGCACAACGTCTGCCTCGCGCTGTGTTACTCGCATCGAGGCGAGTAAACAGTCTTGTACTTGATGCTGAACCCTGGTGGCGCTGAAACAAAGCCAGATCTCTGGGGAAGCTGTTATGCACAATATTTTGATTATGACTAATGTGTATGTTGTTTTGGGGGCTTTTCTTCCAAAAGGTCAGTATTTTACTCTTTCAGAATCTTTATGACATGACACCAGTTCTTCTATTTCCTTTGTGCTATCTATGAGAGGGAGATAGCAGCCAAGGAAGGTTAAATTTTTCTCAGGGGTTTAACTGACTAACATTTTTGTTGCCCATGGCAGCACTGATGAGGATTGAGTCTGACAAATTCAAAACAGTTTCCAAGCCAGTTCTTGTTAATTTGAGTATTTAAAAGTATTGTCCAGCATGTGCTTATCTCTGCAGCTCTTGCCCAGATATTTCCCTGTACAGCTTATACAATAGTACGGGTGGTTTTTTTCCTTTCCTTCAAATAAGCACAGAAAATCCACATGGCTAAAACACATTATAGGAAATGAAGCCAATCTGGCAGAAACAGTTTTGCATTTATACCCAGCAATTTTATAAGTCCTTTGCAAGAAGGAATGGGGGGGAGGAAATACATATGCTAAAGCAAGAGCTATGTTTCTTCTGCTTTGAGGTCTCCAAGGGCAATTGAATAAACAGTTCTAAGGTTCATGCTACTGACAGCCTGAGAAAACCAGGCCTGTGCCCTCAGTAAGCACCAACAGCTGCATGCTCTTGCGCAGTAGCTGTCTGTGTTATCCATAAACCAGACCGTCATTTCTTACAGGCAAGTGAGCTCGTTCTTAAGCAGTAGTTTGAAACGTGAATAAAATCGGTATGTATCAAATGATTTCCCTTTACAGCTCCTGTGGATGCGATGCTTACTGCATTGCTCTGCCCTTCTGTCCTGAAGGAAGAATCACTGCTGTGAGCGGCAGCCCTCGGCTGGGGGACTGAGGATCCAGACAGCTGAGCCGCTGACGGAGAGCCTGCGTGCCCTGTGCGGAGGCTGGGGAAGTTGTGGGTGCCCTGCGTAGCATGAGGCATGGCTGGACGCAGAACCACCTCAGTCTCTGCTCAGGTGCGTGGAAGTTGAGTGCAGCCCGGAGATGATGGGATGAGTTGGTCCGGCAGCTCTGCAGCAGAGTGGTGTGGGAGCGTGGAAAAGAGGAACAGGCTACTTAACCGCTGGCAGTTCGCAGGAAATGGTTCAGAGTTGATAAAAAAATCAAACTGTTTCCAACTGATGGAATGGAAACTGTGTGGGAATAAGCCTAGCTTGCTCCAAGTTTAGTCTCTTGGCAAAGAAAGCTCTATGCCTTACAGACGTAAACCCAGATTACGAAAAAATGAACATCAACTGATAAAAAGATTTAAAGGGTTAGAATAAAAACCCAAAACCAATTTATGCCCACTGTGTTTCAGTGCTCCTTCTTCCTTTGGTTTATATCTTTTGCAAATCCTTAAAAAGACCTTTGGACCTAACAGATAAACTGGAAAAAGAACCTGTCCACAAAACCATGTCGTTTTCATGTGCGGATTCACAGACAGTTCCCCTGACAAGTGGAAAATACTGACAGAGGATGTTACACAAGTCAGTTACCTCAGATTCAGTCAAAAGTCAGAAAATAGTAACTACTGCTACGAAGAAAAGAAAGAGGTAGGAGGAGAGGTTGTGTGTAGCGGCAGTTTGTGGGTTTTCAGCATCCGTTTTCCCTACCCGAATGCTCTCTCAAAACCATTGTAGTGGAAACGGCACAACCTCTCCAAACCCCGTCAAACTCCCAGATGTCGATCCCAGCACAGTCAGCTTAGAAAACAGCAGGGAAAGACAATCAGGACTTCTTTCATCCCAAAGCCAATCTTAATAGCTTCTAAGTGTAGTCCGATTCCTAACTAAGCAAAAGATGGGAACAAATAAATATTTTAAGATTAGTTTTGTGTTATTTGGAAGATTGTTCCTATCCTCTTATTGGCAGTGAATGAGACATGCTTGCAGAATTATTATTAATCTCTTCTTAGTACAGCTGGTACTACTGTTATTAGGTAATTTGATTGATGCTTCCCATTCTTGTGCTGGCGCTGGTAACTGGAATCTACAGCTGCTTTATCTGTGGAGATCTCTGGGAGTGTTTGAAGTTACATCTTTTGTAAAGTCCATTTTCTGCCCCTTGGTTTTTCATATTTACCTTAAATCATCAGGATTTTTCCCACTAATGAACAGAAGATTTCAGGAAATTCTGGAACTGACTCAGTACAGGACCTGAAAGTTTTCCACATATGGGGTAAATAAGTGTCATAGAGTTGAGGGGTCTGCCTGAAATCTCAAGTCTGTTATTTATATTATGCCCCAAAGGCTCCAGATGGTTTGGCAA